TATGTAAATCCAAACACACAGAAATATTTCATCAAGTTAAAAATTTCTATTTTCTCTGAACATAACATATACTCTCAGCTGATTGATTTTACAAGAGCTGTTCCAGTTTACAATTCACACTAAGTTTATTCCCTGGCAGCATTTAGTGTAAAAGCTGTGACCTACGGAGGCTAACAGAATTATAGTGTTTAGGCATAAAAATATAAGCAGCCAGACTCTAGTGTTTATGGCCAGCATGACTATGACTTATGAAAAGTACTAATTAGCAGTACCAAGTTCTCAGAGTTCTTCATCATTCACTCATTCAACAAATACTTACTAGCTGCCCACAATTTATCAGGAATTGGGCTAAGTGCTAGGGCTAAGATAGTGAGTTAATATGCCCAGTACCTATCTCTCCTCTAGGAGGATAGACAGTAACAAAAATAAAATGATAAAGGTAAAATGTAAAACTGCATTTGTGATATGTGCCACAAAGAAGGGTATGTGTTACTTTGAGAACCAACAATGGTGGATGTGACTTAGGGAGGTCAGGAAAGCCTTCCCTGAAGAAATGAGGTTTAGGCTGAGAGCTAAATGATGAACAGGAGTTAGGAAGGTGAAAATAGAAGGCAGAAATTGTTCGAGAGAGAACAGTTTATGCAAGATTCCAGGAAGGATGATCAGAAGAAAGGAATCAGAGCTATAGCAATGAGAATGAGAGAGAAGACAGTTCAGGTAGAGATGGGGTCTATGAAGGACTTTGTGGGCTGGCTATAGTAGGGATTTTGATCTTGGCCTAAGAGCGAGGGAGAGCCCCTAAAGGCTTTATAGGGAAAGGGGATGTGATCAGATTTACATTTTTTTTCAAGCTCATTGAGGTATACACAACAGACTAAAGAAAGACCAAAGCAGGCAACCATAGTTGTCCAAATAAGAGATAACAGAGTTCGGCTGGGCGCGGTGGCTCACGCCTGTAATCCTAGCACTTTGGGAGGCCGAGACGGGCGGATCACGAGGTCAGGAGATCAAGATCATCCTGGCTAACACAGTGAAACCCCGTCTCTACTAAAAATACAAAAAAATTAGCCGGGCGAGGTGGCGGGCGCCTGTAGTCCCAGCTACTTGGGAGGCTGAGGCAGGAGAATGGCCTAAACCCAGGAGGCGGAGCTTGCAGTGAGCTGAGATCCCGCCACTGCACTCCAGCCTGGGCGACAGAGCGAGACTCTGTCTCAAAAAAAAAAAAAAAAAAAAAAGATAACAGAGTTCTTCCTGGTTATAATGGTGTAAGTAACAAAAGGAAAAATCTATTAGCAGGGAGTAAGAAGCAACATATATAAATATTACTTTAGCCAACAGGAAAATCCATTTTTAGGATACTGCCGATGTGACCACTACAGATAAAACGTTAAAGCTTTTTGTAAGTTTTATAGTACAGTGTCAGTTAATTCCCTTTTAATCTGTTTTTTAGTGCTTTATGGGTATACATAGGCCTGTACTTTTCACATTTATATACAGGCCCTATACAGTTAATGATTACGTTTATCACTGCCACTGTGGTACCTGTATCATTCCCCTAGTCTATCATTAGCAACAAATAATATATATTTAGTGCCCACTGTAAATGGGATCGTGCCAGCCTTTAGAGTTGTAAAGAAACATTAGAAATAGTCCTCATCTTCAAAAAGCACATACTCTAGCTAAATAGACGGGGCTTAGCCCAAAAAGCAAATAAATCACTAGGTCTTCTGCAGCCTACTACAAGGTAGGTTTCATTTTGCCACTATTATAAATGGCTTTTAGTAAGTTTCAAAGCATGTGTGGTTTATTGTAGTCATTCTGAAATATTAGCACTTTAAGAAGGGTTTGGTTGCTTTTTAAATGAGAGGAGTCAAATAGAGACTGACTTTTGCCAGGAGAGATTCTGAGAAGATGAATTAGATTTAAAGTAATAGAAGAAAAGAAAGCAAAGATGACTGAAGAATGCATCTGTAAGCAAAACAAACAGGTCACAAATGAATATATACAGAATGTTTACATTTTTAAAAAGTTCAAAACTAAGCAAAACAATTCACATTGTTTAGGAGTACAGAGTAAGTGGGTTATAAATATAAAGAAAAGTAAGAAAATAATCACCATAAAAATCAGAATAGTGGATACTCCTGAGGGGAGGGAGAGGGTTCTGACTGAAGAGGACATAAAGAGGGGCTTTTGGGATGCTGGCAGCATTCTATTTCTTGACCTGGGTGGTGTTTTTACATAGAGATTTACCTTTTAATTCTTTCTTAAGCTATATATTAAAATATATATATATATTGTGTATACTTCTTTATGTATACTTATGATAAAAACGGTTTGTAACAAGAGGGTCTGTGACTAAAGAAGACAGAACTTTGGGCCTTAAATACTATTCTGACTACACACTAACATGGGAGTGTTAACTAGGAAATTAGCACCCTTTCCAGCCAAAACGATCTTTTATCATATTTAATGACAAAATATACTTCAGTGGGAGCCAAGTTATTGATGGCAGTTAGGGAAGCAGAAGTAATGGTAGGGCTGAGCATAGACACAGTGGTTGAGAAGCAGTTTAGAGAAAATCCAGGATGAAGATTTGGCTAGAAGCAAAAGGACAAGTAAAGATGCAATTCATAAAATCTCATTCGGAAGGACAACTAAAGATAAGCCCTATCCAGATGGCAGAACATAAAGGACGACTTAAAAGGAAGAGGCAATACTGTTTGATTACAAAGAAATTATTTGATTACAAGTTTAGGGAAGTAGGTAATAATTAGTACTTAACTTATTATTTGTTTTAATGGACTATTATGCTTAAGGAAGTATCTGTTACTTTAATAAAGCAACTAAGGTTATCAAGATTAAATTAAATAACTATATATTCTGGCCAGGCACGGTGGCTCACGCCTGTAATCCCAGCACTTTGGGGAGGCTGAGGCGGGTGGATCACCCGAAGTCAGGAGTTCAAGACCAGCCTGGCCAACATGGTAAAACCCCCTCTCTACAAAAATACAAAAATTAGCCTGGCATGATGGCGGGTGCCTCTAATCCCAGCTACTCAGGAGGCTGAGGTTGGAGAATTACTTGAACCTGGGAGGTGGAGGTTGTAGTGAGCCGAGATTACGCCAGCACATTCCAGCCTGGGCGACAGAGCAAGACTCCTTAAAAAGCAAGACTGTCTTAAAAACAACAACAACAACAACAAAAAAAAAACAGGGCCTGGCGCAATGGCTCACACCTGTAATCCCACCACTTTGGGAGGCTGAGGTGGGCAGATCACGAGGTCAGGAGTTCAAGACCAGCCTGGCCAACATGGTGAAACCCGGTCTCTACTAAAAATACAAAAATAAGCTGGGCATGGTGGCACATGCCTGTAATCCCAGCTACTCGGAAGGCTGAGGCAGGAGAATTGTTTGAACCGGGATCCAGGAGGTGGAGGTTGCAGTAAGCCGAGATCGTGCCACTGTACTCCTGCCTGGGCTACAGAGCGATACTCTTGTCTCAAACAAACAAACGACTGTATTTTATGTAATGAATTTCAGGTGAATAAGCTGTGTTAAAATTTTGGCTGTTTTTCTCATCAGAAGACAGTCACATTCTTGTAACTAAAACTGATTCCAGGGGGACAGCCTTGTACCCCTTAACTGAAAATACTGACTTGACATGATTGCCACTAAAAATCACTGTTAGTTCCTTTCTCTGAATAGTTGTCTGTTCATCTGTTTATCTGTCTATCCATCTATCCATCCATCCATCCACCTACCCACCCACCCACCCAGTATTTATCAAATTCTACTACTGTTTTTAGGTAGTAAGCATATACTAGTTCTTGAGAATATAACGACGAACAAGATAGACATAACTCCTGTCCTCATGACACTTGTTATTTAGGGAAAAAGACATATATAAAGCAAAAAATCATATATGTAATTGTTTTATTACAACTGTGATAAATGCAACAAAATATAAGCACAAGATGTTATGAAATCATAACATATTGATTTAGGGGTGGAGGCTTGAAGAGTAAAGGGTATCTTGCAAAAGTAACACTTAAGGTAAAACTTGTAGGATGAACAGACAGGGATGGGGATGTAATGTGCAGAGTTTCCTAGGGGGGAGGAATAGCATATACAAGGCTCTGAGGCAGGAAAGAGCTTAGCATACAATGAAAATGCACAAATCTCAACTTCAAGCTCCCCGGCGCAATGGCTCACACCTGTGTAAGTAACAAAAGGAAAAATCTATTAGCAGGGAGTAAGAAGCAACATATATAAATATTACTTTAGCCAACAGGAAAATCCATTTTTAGGATA